CCGCCGCCCGCCGCCGCCGCCGCCACCGCCCGCCGAGGCCGCGCGCGCGACCGGGGCGGCGTGGTTCGCTCGCGCCCAGGGAAAGTGCCGCCCAGCCACCGGTATATATACGAGCGGGCGCGTCGGGGTCGGCACCAGTCGGCGACTGGACCGTACACACACCCCTCGCTCGCAGACATGAGGAGCTTGGTAAGCACGTGGCGCGGCCGCGCCCCGCACGGTCGCCACACGCCGTGCGGCGAGACTCTCGCTTTCTTCGCGCTACTTTTCAAACTAAAACTTCTAAAATTTTCAGTTAAAAGTTTAAAAATTGCAAATCAAAACTCTAAGCATCGCCAAACGTTTTATTTTTTTAGTAAAAAAGTTAACTGAATAATGTTTTGCAAAAATTTTAAATGTCTAAAATTATTGCATTTGTATTATAAATGTTCAAAGTGTCTAAAATCATATATTTCATTACTTATTGAGTAAATAATATGCACAGTAGGTTTTTGTAATATTAGACTATGACAATAATAATATTACATCCAAGTGAAAAAGAATGAACCAATCAAAACATTTGGGCTTGGCATTATAAGGAATTCAAATCAAACGTGACCAATGTTTGAAAGGGTGTGTTTCAAAATCCTGCTCGATAATGGATTATTGTAATTTAAATTATTAATTTATTTCAGTATATTGTAAATAATATTTTCGTGTTTTTTGAAACAAAATACATAGTAGGCCTATTTTTCACGAAGAAACATACAAGAGCCCAAATGAAATTAATTTAAAGTTATTTAAAGAATATAATTTCACGTAATCATGAATTTCTTATGGTATGGTCACATCGTATGGTAAAATAGTGTTTCTCAGTGATATTCTTTAAATATCACTCCTGTATAAATACTTCTATGAATCTTTAGTTTTCCGTAAATCTACAACAGAGGACCGCCGGATTTACTTCACTCCAAACCTGCAATACGGGATAGCATTGTCAGAATCAAATCAACCGGTAACCACAGTAAGCCCCTGTAAAGTGTTCGCCCTTCATAACGCGATAAGTGTTATCCAAGCAAACTCCGTTGCCATCAGTTTCTCCTCATTTCGGAAGCTAACCAATGGGTCGCTGGTCGGAGCGGATCCACCGGTAAAGACAAGTCCATTCAGAACCAGTAAGAACTGATTATCTTCGGACGACCAAAGCCGTTTTCCGTTTGGCAGTTGGGATCGTGAGAAAACGCAAGTGCAACCTCTTTAGGGTCGGGAGGGAGAGCCGATCACACACGCAGCGTCGTATATTGGCGAGCGCCGCTTTCGCGCCCGTAAATTCGGTTTCCCTCGCGTGCTCGCTTTTGGCGCCGCGGGCGGGGCGCGAGTGCTGCTTCGCGTGGAACCCGCGCTCTGCATTCGGCGCTTCTGCCCGTGCGCGTTACAGGTTTTCTTCTCCGCACTGCTCGTTGCCTGTCGATAGGCATTCGGACTGAGGACTCGCCAGTCCAGTTTTATCCATGGTTCGTTATCCGGTAGTTAGTTGATGCTGCGTTGGATGATAACAAGTACCGTGTAGTTTTTTGCAAGGGAAAGCGCACAACGTTCGCGGGAAAAGTGAATTTTTCCTTTCGTTTTCGTTCGGAAACCGTTTCGAGTGCCGCGTTTTCCTTCAGAAAGTTCGTTTTAGTGTTCAGAAGTTGTTTGGTTTTCTCACCCGGGAGCTGTTTAAAAGAAAGCTTCTTTTAAAAGAAATTCCCCACAAATGAAGTAAACCAACGAGATGGGGGAAATACTGGGATGAAACTGTACGTTGGATTCAAGTCCATGAATTCAATCTACTGTAATAACTATTCCTTGTTTTTCATGGGTCGAAAATGTCCAGCCAAATTCGTCTTAATGATGAATATCTGGCTGTATTAGCATTTTTTTATTCGTTGCCTAAAATACCTCTCGTAATGGCAGACTATTACAAGCGCGTAAGCTGTGTTTTTGAATAATCCGTTACCGCAACACCTTCGCTTTCGAGAAGTAGCATCTCTAGCAAGTCGTCACTTCACTCGAAAGTTGCAAAGTCACAGCGCACTCACTGAACATGTTAGTTAATAATACTCGCAATGACTTGTTTTATTGGTCGAAAGCTAAAGAAATGGCATCCATTTACCGAATCCGTACTTGATTGTCTAAAATTCGCAGATAATTTACTTTCCTGACAATCGATAATAATTTAAGAAATGATACAAACAATTTTTCCCCTACATAAAGCTTTTATTTTTGTATACTGCTAATTCAGTTGTTCAAACCGAGCAGTCGGCCAATCAAACACCGTGTTCTGAAATCAAACTCTATCACCATTCCGTAATTCATAGGCCTCAGAACTGACATTCTATTAAGTACAGCTCAAAAAACCGTTATGTTCATATTGGCTTACTGATGAACATTGGTTCTTGGAATCATGCAAACCGACTCTGAGCATTGACACTCTAGAGTGTCATATCTTATTCTCCTGCGAAGAAAATCTCTATCAGAATTGTCCGCGGGAAAATAGTCCGGTTTCATTTCCGCTAATCGCACATTGCTAAGCTCACAGAAATGTACACACAGCCGTGTGAAGAAGTTCATTTCAAATTGGAAAATAATAATTCGTCAACCGGATGTCATTTTTCCTTGTTTAGATCAACAATTAAACGGGTTTCTCAAACTGTGGTTAGCGATTGCTGGGAAGGGGAGGAAATCTTTCATGCAAATATTTCGTGTTGAAATTAAACACTTTAGGAAAAAGTTATTTTATTCCACGTCTTAATATTATTGACATTATAAATTGTAAAATAATTCTTTAGTGAATTTAAAAATTACCTTAAATTAGCAAAACAATACTGCATTAACAATAGAATTCGCCATTACTGCAATTTGGCCCAGAGGTACTTAAACTTTAATTACGTGGGGTCCTAAATGTCTGTAAGGGGCTTGAGATCTCCCGATGAAACTGTACTAATTCGTCTGTTGAAGTGTGCAATCGTGCCGCGCCTCCTTTTATGACGCGGTGGGGGGAGGAGGAGGTGGGAGGGGGGAGGCGTGAGCGGAAAGCGAGCGCGCGTTCAGATCCGGGACGCCGCGTGAGCGCGCTGCACGCGCCAGCACGCCCCGACTCGGCCTTTCGTTGCGCGCAAGGGCACAAGGCGTTAAGCGTTAGGGGTTAAGGCGGCGGAGTCGGAGTGGCCTGCGGCACAGCACTTTCGTTTGCGAGCGGACCAGCGCCGCTGTAATGTCCCACTTGCGATGCATGCGGCGTTAACGTAAATAGGAGGAGAGGCGGTTGTCGGCTTCGTTAACGACTGTTAACTGTAATGCTATTCTGCGAGGTGACTTGGGCTTGTCGTAAAGCACTACGATAATACGCTTTCATTTTTCGTTTAATTTCGTCTTCTAAACGCTCAACGTTTTCTAGTAGAACGTTGCAATAACTAATAATATGCTTTTCTATTTGTTTTATATATACTAATTTTTGTCTCCTCTCTTTAAACATTTCGTTAATTTTTCCGTTGCACAACTTTCAGCTGATTATTTCTCCACTCTTACTTTCGTATTCCCGTTTACTTTCCTTTAAGGTCTCTAGCCTTTTCAATTTTTCTTACATAATACTGTTTCTTTAATTGTTTCTCTGTTAATCTTGCTTGAAACTTGCTCATTGAAAACATAATATTTTAATTCCACAATTTTCGGAATTTGCATGTTTTACGAAGATTTGTTTGGTTTTTAGATAAATAAAAAATGCTATTTCACGATACGCATTATTGAAAGAAGAGCTTATTAGTAATTCTAGTTCACTTGATACATTGTACCCATTTCTACAACAAAATTAACGGTTTTCAAGTATCTTAATACTAATAACACCAAAACGTTCGTTTGGCTGTTCACTAATCCGTGTCTTCACATGTTGTCGGAAAACACACCTGTCGCCACTGCACACTCAGCAGAAAAACCGCCTCTTCAAACACGCCGCGTTCGCATGCTTGTGGCTCTCTGCCCAGTGTACACACACACACAGAGGTGTCGGTGCACAGTGGCGAGCGTGTGCGGTGGCTTTCGAGTGGTCATTGCCATGCGGTGCGGGCACGCGATGGCGGTCACGGGCACGGCCGGCCACGCCCCCCTCCCCCCGCGCGTTGGACGCGTGCCACG